ACAAGGTGCACCGCCCCCAACAAGGGCGAGGCTTGTCCGTCAGCCCACAGAGAACATCCCGTTCCCAGCCCCGGGACTGCCCGGGGAGCGGGTACCGCTCCCATCTTCCTTTCCCCCAAAGCCAGCAGAAGTTTCCCTGGGCAGAGCCTGCGGCGACCCGCTCGCTACCACAGCCCCAAAGGGAACCCTGCCCCCCCGCCGACACAAAGGAGAAAATCCACTCAGAACGGCTCCGGAGACTTGGAGGAGTTCAGACCGTACCTGAAGATAGCTGTTGCCCGCAGGGTCATCCATGATGAAGTGAGCTTTTCTCTTTACCTCTGTGATCTGCAGAAAAAACACGTCCAGGCATTAAGGCTCTTTCTGACCCTTCAGCACCAAGACTTTCTGCAGCTTTAGTTCTAACATTTTCCTCAGTTAAGAACCACCACCAGACTGATACGACAAGCAGGGACGTGACGGGTTAAGGGCGGAACAGCTAGAAAAATACGGCGACACTCGCCAAGGAGCTCGGTTAAACAGACGTCATAGCTGCAGCGACGGTGGCGAAAGCCGCATCACGGAGTGTGGAAAATTAAAAGCACACTCACCTCGCACAGTTTCCCAATGAACTCTTGCAGCTTCTCAGTTTTGCTGGGCGTAGAGCTGTCCCCCAGAGTGAAGGGGTTTCTCTCAACCTAGAAGAGCAGAGCCACTCGCTCAGCCAGCTCGGAGCCCCCCAGCTCAGAGCCCCCCAGTAGGCAGCAGCGCAGGACCACTCACCAGCTCTCTGATGTCCTTCAGCAGCCCTTCCAGCGTGGTGAATTTCCCCCCCAGCGCTCCCATCCCCAGCTCGAACTCCAGCTCTGGGATCTCCACACTGCATGTCTCTGACTGCGAGGGCAAGCACCCCATGAGCCCCTCGCCGAGGGACGGCCGGGCCCTGCACACCCGCCACGGGAGGACAGGGCGGGTATCCGAAGGCACCGTACCTTGAGGATGTCCCTCGTCATGTCCGAGGGGTCTGTAATCCTAAGGGTAATCCTGGTGCCCTGTGGTTCGATTGCTCCTCCAGACTTCACCTGGGAACACCCGGCACTCAGCTTCGCGGACTTTTAGACTTAAATCACGCCCTAAGAACGTTTACCCTCCAAACCCAGGGACGGTTCCTTAGCCCAGGGCTTAAGGGTTTTCCACCTCACCTCATTTGTCCTGTGCCCACAGGAGTCGCAGTTTGTGGCCATGATAATCACTTCCTTGAAGTGTGGGATTTCTGGAGCAGGCAGTCAAGGAAAACTCAAGGGAAAG